TTATGTAGTCCATACACATACGGTGTCAAGAGAGCTGCTGTCCACAGGACTATAGTGCGTTCAAAGCCGCCCCACGTCGTTGATGTCGACCCACGGCTGCGAATTGCCGGTAGGGGTAGGGGAAGACCAGGAGTCAACGGCCATGAGAGCTGAGTGTGGTCTGGGGCTGGAGGATCTATTGGAGCGATTGAAGAGAGAAGAGGTTCCTACTGTGGCTTTGGTAAGTATGCTCAGGAGGATCACCCCGAGGGGTCATTTCAGTCGATGGTTTTGAGGCCGCCGAACCCCACAGTGGGTGATGGCCGACCTCTTATTCTTGAGGGCCTCGGCAAGGAGAAACTCCCGCGGGTGTTCGTCAGTGTCGACATGAGGATTATCCGACCGAGCGTTGAGGAGGTCGGCTCTGATGAGCTCACAAGATTCGGCGATCGGACTGTCGTACACCATGTTAGGGATGGCTTCATCAGGTTTGCGGACTCAATGAAGCATATCAGCTGGGTAGTTGGTCTTGGCAAGGCTACTGTGCTGAGGGAAGAGATTGTGTCTTTGAGTGAACGCAAGAGGAGAGAGGAGGTCGACATGGAGATGGACGCCGAGGGGCTGCGCAAAATTTGGGAGAAGTGCCCCCTGTCGCGATAATCAGAGTGTTTCCAGCGTGGGGTTATGGTGGCTACTTTAAAGTCACGAAGAACGAGAAGGAGAGTCGACGGCGTAGTGATGATGATTTCCTCAGTGGTGCGGGCATTTATATATTCCAGGGTCGAGACGGAGAGGGGTACTCTCATCACGCAGTAAGAGTTATATGAAGTTGATATCACACAGTGATGAGGATTCCGAGACAGCAGAAGTTCAAAAAAAATGGAGCCGACAAGGTTCGAGAGCTCGTGTAAGTTGAGGACGGGCTGGACCAGCTTCTCGGTCGTCTCAGTTGAGATAGAAGGTCAGTCTATAGAGTGATTTCGATTAGTAGAGCTTCGAAGCCCTCTGGATAGTATCACAACGAGGTTGGTGTTAGACAGCCGCGGCACCAGT